ACATAGTGAAGTTTACGTCTTTTGAGAATGTAAATCTGTGTGTTGTTGCTGTTGAATTTAATGCAAAACCAAAGAGATGCTATAAGAAAGAAAAGGGCTGGAGAGGAAAATGATGAGGCAAGGGAGAAGTCCAAGTGTACATTACTAATTTGGTTACATCTGTTCTTATAAAATGCTGGTGAAATTTGTTAGTTTAGCCAACTCTCTTCCTCCTTCCCACATCATGTAAACACAACTTGAGAAATTAAACAGCCGTTTAGAAATGGGCAGACCACTTAGGAGGGTACATCCCTACATCCAGGAGGCAGGGAATCCTTCTAATAATGATAACTTTCAGAAAACCAATTTACTGTTGTATCTGTGAATCAGAAGAATCCCATCTTCTCTGTCAAGGCCAACATGCCTAGCCTTTGTCTACAGGTAGAGATGGCTTCATTTGAAGGTTTTCCCTTTAACTTCACTGTTCTTGCCATTTTCTTATTGAAAATTTAAATTTGGATGTGTGGGGTGGAGTGAGGGGATGCTGTCCAAGTCCACGCCACCCAGACAAGGGAAGACTGAGAGCCAAGGCGCCACACTCAGCTCTGCTTCCTACACTGAGAACCACAGTAAAGGACTTGGCCATCCTTCTGGACAGCCTTTATTTTGCCTCTCTTCCTCCTTGCCCCTTAAAAAAATAATATTTAACTCTTTTTTCTATCTTTAAAGTTATACATATTCATGATTAAAATGAGAAATTACAGCATATAAAGCAAAAGATAAAAATTATGCAACCATTCTCCTACAACTCAGAAGGGACAACGGGCAACTTTTAGTGTATTTCCCTTCAATCTTGTTTCCTCTGGGACACACACACACAAATAAACACATACACATACACACCTATGATACTGTAACCTTATTTCGAAATATAGATTCATAGTGTCTTAACTTTTTCATGTCACATTATATCATGAATATTTTCCCTTTCATTAAAAATTCTTAAAAATAATATTTTCCGGGGCACCTGGGTGGCTCAGTTGGTTAAGTGTCTGACTTTGGCTTAGGTCATGATCTCACGGTGTGTGGGTTTGAGCCCTGCGCTGGGCTCTGTGCTGACAGCTAGCTCAGAGCCTGGAGCCTGTTTCAGATTCTGTGTCTCCCTCTCTCTGACCCTCCCCTGCTCACGCTGTCTCTCTCTCTCTCTCAGAAATAAATACAACATTAAAAAAATTAAAAAATATTTTCTGAGGTTGCAACTTACGGTGGTAGCATTATTTTGAAAAAAATTATATCTTAAGAGATTTCTAATTTAGGTTATAAAAAATAATTTTAGTCCCTAAAAATCAATCTACATCAGTGATCATTTCCATAGGATAAATTATTTGAAGTAGAATTTTGGATTACAAAGAACCTAAAGTCTTTTTAAGACTATTGAAATATACCAGCAAACTGTTACACAGAAAGGGTACACTTCTTAAGATAAATAGACCCCTCCCCCAGCCTCCAACTCTCCTACATGAAGTTAGGACAGACTGCTCTCACTTTCTCCTAGAAACTGCCTAACTTAACTTATGTACTTTAATTTCCTGGAACTAAGCTGAAGAGTGGTAATAAAGTTAATTAAACAGGAGGCAAATGAATATTTAAGAACCAGCATTTATGAAAGCAATTTTACGCAAATCTGTGTTTTAATACAGTTAATCTTTGTTCTTTACTTATCCCCCCAAAATTATTGAAAACCTACTATGTGCCAGGCATTTTGCAATATGCTGTTGATAAAAAGTGAAAAGATACAGTCCCTGATCTACGAAGGATCACAAATTAATAGGAGTAACAGACTTCTGAAATTAGAGTGAAAAGGTAAGTGCCTATAAAAGATGTAGCTGTAAGTCTCAGTGGGGGCCTGGGAGGGGAGGTAGCGAGCTGTCTGGGTTGGTAAAGAGGTAATGTATAAGCAGCATTTCGGAGGACGAGCAGGATTGTCAGGTGTAAGGGCAAGAGAATGGCAACGGGGCACTCTAGGCGGAAGGAGCCGCCCATGGACAGGAACCAGGGCAAAGCATCACGCTGTTAAAAACTCTAGGAATGCTTTGAAAGAATTTAAGCAGGGAAATGACCTGATCATATTCTTGCTCCGGAAACATCTGCAAAACGGTTGATGGATGATATTTTTGCAGGGCGGGGGTGCACAGAGCCACGTTGCAAGACAAGATGGAGGGAGACCACTTACAGGGCAAGAAATTTCAATGGCTTAAACCCGTGGTTCCCAAACATCAGAGTGTATCAGAATCACCTGTATGACCTGTCATGAAACAGAGCTCATCAGGCTCCATTCCCAGACTTTCTGATTCCGTAGGTATGGAATGGAGCCCAAGAATGTACATTTCTAACAAGTTCTCAGATGGATTAACGTGACTTCTAGGTTTTTGATTTAAGCAACTGGGTAGATCCTGGTGCAATGAAACAAAAGACGGAAAGAATGAAGCAAGTGCTTCCACAGCCAGCAATCTCTCTTCTTGTTCCATGCTGATCTTCTAATTCTCCGAGGTTTGCAGGCTACCTGCTGGCTGTCTCTCCACACAAGCATCCCTTTCCTGTGAGCAGCATCTCTGTCAGATTATGATAGACCCCAATGGACTAAGGTGTCATTGATTATGGAAATGAGAATTTGATGTTCCTCTAGGGTGAGACATTTCTATTTAATCGTCCTCCTGAAACCACACCTCAGCTCAATGCACTGACTCCAGTAGCAATTTCAGGTACCATCACAGGCAATCAGCAGGGTTCATTCCTGCATGGTGGGGGCTTTTTGATATCCTTCCGTGAACAAATTCTTGCCCTGACAATGCATACAGGAAGGTCTATATAAATGACAGATGCCACTTATGATTTTTGTTCTCTGGACTCTGCCCCAGCTGGGGTGGATCCCAAATAGGTATGACTTATCTTTGCCAAGGAAAAACAATAGTGCCTTTTAAAGATATCTATGCTTAATTATAGTCTAATAACCTTCTGCCTTGAATAGCTGGCTCTCATTATATGATCAGGCAGTGAACATAAAATCTTCTCCGAATCAAATTATGTGAATGTGTGTATATACATACACAGGCACACTTACACTCCTTAGGAAAAGTTACTTCATTCCATTTTATTTATTTTAATTTTTTAACGTTTATTTTTCAGAGAGAGAGAGAGAGAGAGACAGAATCTGAAGCAAGCTCCAGGCTCTGAGCTGTCAGCACAGAGCCTGACACAGGCCTTGAACTCAGGAGCTGTGAGATCGTGACCTGAGCCGAAGTTGGACACTTAACCCACTAAGCCACCCAGGCACCTCTACTTCATCCCATTTTATATCAGATTCTTCACCTGTACAGCTAGGATTATAAATTACCTTATTGGATGTTGGGTGGCTTAAATGAAATAAATGTTTATAAAGCATCTACTCCACTGTCCTGCATAATAAATATTCTCTTCTCTCCTTTTGTTTTCTCCTTGATGACTTGTTAGCTTGCCACTCTGGTGGGAAGTGACCAAACTCCAAACATCTTTGAAAGGCACCACTGTTTGGAATGGGTGAACTCACAGACAGGGGTGACATTGTATTGATTAGGGATTACCCAATGAGCCGACTGCAGACTGCCACAGGTCATTATGCAAATACCATCAGTAGATGCTGAAGACTATTTTAATGTTAAGGGTTGCTTCTTTTAAATGAGATTTTCTTAGGCTTCCTGCTCTACTACTTCCCTCATTCCTACTCTGATCATAGAAGTTATTGCATACTTGATTTAATGTGGTCATTTGCTTATGGCCTGAGGAAATTCGACCCTTTTTTCTACAGCAGGGAAAAAACAGGATTAAGGAAAACAGAGAGTTGAGAGCACGCCATATTCTGGACTTCACTTTCTCAGGTGTCAATTCTGTGAGTTCTCACTGGTATCACAGCTTGTTTCAATACCAGCCATATTCACACTTGGGGAGTTTTATCCTGGCTCCCATGAAGATCTGGTCAGTAGATATTTGTAAGATCTCATCTAAAACTGTAATGGCTACTTATTGAGTATTTACTGCATGGGAACTCTGCAAAATCTATTTCCTACCTATATCCATATACACACTCATTCCCATATTTATAGTCATTATCCACATCACCTCAGGCATTTTTTTTTAATTTTTTTTTTAATGTTTTATTTATTTCTAGGAGAGAGAGAGAAACAGCGTGAGCAGGGGAGGGTCAGAGAGAGAGGGAGTCACAGACTGAAACAGGCTCCAGGCTCTGAGCTGGCAGTCAGCACAGAGCCCGACGCGGGGCTCGAACCCACGAACTGTGAGATCATGACCTAAGCAAAAGTCGGACGCTTAACCGACTAAGCCACCCAGGCACCCCTCACCTCAGGCATTTTTATAAAAGTCTTAGAAGGAGAAATATAGAATGTGCCTTAATTATTTCTTATCATGAATATTAATAAAACTATTTGTTTTCCAACCTTGGAAAGGCAGAATCTGATAGATTCTGTCTTCCAACCTTGTTTTCCAGACTCTGATGGATTAGATTTCCCATACTTTGTAGAGTTCCCCACATAACAAAATTATACTGGATGGGAAATCTTTTTCAGGAAATTGGATTATTTCTAAATTCATTTTATTGCTGCCCCTGCTGTGCCCCCACACACTCCCCTGACTCAGTTAAAGGGTATATGACAATATCTGGTGACTATTAAAATATATGTCCAGAGGGAATCTCAGACAAATATTGTGTAGGGGGAAAAAAAAATCCAAGTTGAAATCATTTGTAAGACAATTTAATAAGTACTGCTTCACTTTAATGATGAACAATTTGACGTGGCACTATGATCAGGGTCGGTTTCTGTACTTCCTGGAAAATCCCAAAAGAAACTCTTGCTTTTAAAGCTGATGCTTCCATTGCTTAGTTTATTTTATCAAGTATGTTCATCTGTGGTAAGTTTAGTAAGTTTCACCTGTAGGCGAGGGCTCAGGTCAGCATGCTCTTTACTCACCTATGAATCTTATGATCCTTCGGAGTAAAGGGTTCAGGTAACAGCATTCTCCAGTCAGGATTGTTTTCTCCTGGGCAATTAGAGATTCTCTGGTTGACTTTATGAAATACATGGATATCTCACCAATAAAAATCTGGAGAAAGAATGTTTAAGAAATGTCAAGTTGGAGAGCTGGCTGATAAAAGAGACCAGTTGCTTTAAAACACAAAAACTTCTGAAGCTCCAAATGTTAAAAGATGTTAGGCTGCAAGGATGGAGAGTTAAATCGTAATTTGTATTTAATTCTTCAAAAGAATGAGAGATGGAAATACTTGTAATTTCAGCTAGGTTTCAGGCTGTATTATTAAACTTTAAGGTCATAAAAACATAAATTGAAATGATAAATTGCAATAGAAACTATGGTAAGGCTCACTCACACTGGGACTGAGTTTTTTCATGTTTATTTATTTATTTTCAGAGAGAGAGAGAGAGAGAGAGAGAGAGAGCAAACAAACAAGCAGGGGAGGGGCAGAGAGAGGGAGAGAGAGAATCCCAGGCAGGTTCCTCACTGTCATCTCACAAACTATGAGACCATGACCTGAGCTGAAATCAAGCACCTGACGCTCAATCGACTGAACCACCCAGGTGCCTCTGGGATTGATTTTTTTAAATGAATATGTGAGTTGCAATGACAAGAAATGACTAGAACAGCCCTATGTCCCCAAAAAGACATTATAAGCACACATAACAGTAAATTATTACTTTGTTATATGGCAACATATTATTCACCTGATAAATCTTTATTTGAACATATTGGACTGAGCTGTAGTTCTCTCACTATGAACTAGTTGACAGTCTCTTCTTTATAATTGGTACTTCTCTCTCTTGTTATCTTCAACTAATACATATATATTACTATATAAATCACAATGTCTTTGTGTAGACTGTAAACTCTCTGAGGAAAGGGACCACAGCTTATGTTTCTTGATTATACTTATAGTATTCAGCACAGTGTATTCCTATTTAAAATAAGGAACGGAGTGGGTGGTGACTGGGTGGCTCAGTTGGTTAAGTGTCTGACTCTTGATTTCAGCTCAGGTCATGATCTCATGGTTGTGAGACTGAGCCCTCCATCAGGTTCTGTGCTGGGTGTGGAGCCTGCTTGGGGCTCTCTCTCCCTCTCCTTCTGTCCCTCTCCAACTCATGTTTGCTCTTTCTCTCTCTTTCTCAAAAAAAAAAAACAAAAAACCAAACCCCACAAAAAACAAAAAAGGAACTAGCATGAGGCAAGTTGTCACCAACTCTGCCACAAGTGAAGACTGAGAACAATCAATGAAGAATAAAAAGTTACTAATTACTATCATCTATTGAAAACTATGTGTCAGGCACTTCACCATCATATTTTTCATGCTCATAAGATCCCTAGTTTAAGTATTATTACCCTTACTTTACCGGGGAAGATAGAACGTTCAGGACCCTTCAGAGCATACAATTGGCATGTGGGGTACTGGGATTGGTATCCAGGATAACTAAGTTCCAAAGTCCACACTTTCAACCACATCACACACCATTTTTATTTTCCTAATTCCAATTGCAACATTTCCTCATAAGAATGTGATCCTATAGATGTTTTTCTTTGCTATGTACATGCTTATGGTGTCAGATAAACTTAATCAAGATGTTAAGAATTCCCATTCCTTATGTTCCTCTGGTCATTATGGAATAGATGATAAAGATGACAATATCTTTATGAATGGCACAGGGATGTGGAAATTAAACTATAGAACTGTAAAAGTGGAATTATTTACAGATATTTTCCTTTTTTTAATTTTTATGAGCAAAGACACTGAAAGTCTCAGGGCTTGGCCACACATAGTGTTGGAGGCAGCACTAAAATGGCCTTTACACATGATTCCGTGCTCAAGTGTTGTCCTGATTATACAAATGTAATGCCTGAGGCACAGAGGGAGTAAATACTTGTCTAAGGTCAGAGCCAGTAGGTCACAAACCCTACTTCTGAAGCCTGGAAGACGTGGCTCCAGGGTCTTCATCTGAACCACTCTCCACTTTTACTAAGTAGTCACTCAATACAAATAGTTGTTGAATCTGTGTTTAGTATTGAGAACATAGGAAACAAAACAAGTGCAATATGTGTTAAATACCGAAAAACTCAGATGCTATTAAAGTACGAGACAGAATGGTGTTGTGGATATAGCACTAGAGGCAAGCCAGGAGGGTGGGAAATTGGCAGGAGTAGACAGTACTTGGGGTCAGCCAGGCACACCGCGGCATGCATCGCTGTGGCAGGTGCTGTCGGAGCGTGGTTGTTCAGAGTTAAAAATATTTTGCACCTCTTGTCCCTTCGAATTAACAATGAGGTGATGTTCTGCCACATACAAATATTTGGATAGCTTCAAGAACTCAGCCCTCCTTTTCTAGTAAGACCTATCTCTGCTAAAATAAGGTGCCAAAGGGTTTTGTTTGTCCTTACTGTACGTGATGGCACCATATTGGTTTTTTCTTTTTTATCTTCGTGAACAGATGGGGATAGATTCATGCATGCTTGGATACACGAAACAGTATTTCCTTGAGGGAGTTTTCTCTGATTCCACAGACTAGCTCAGGCATTCTTGTACATGAATTCCTTACCTTGCATTTCTCTTTTCTATTTCTTATCAGAAACAGTTACATATTATTGTTGTTCTTTGTTATGGGATGTCCTGACCTATTCTTGGTTATTATCACCTCCCCACGCCACTACTAGGCTTAGCCAAGTGTAAGGTACATAGTAGTTATTCAGTGCTGAATGAAGCATATCAGATTTATGAAGGTCTTTTGGGATACAGGTTTAATGAGGTAGAGTATAAAGAACAGAAAATGATTTCTATTATTTATCCTTGCAGACCCAGTGAAAATGTCACTACCCTCCCCAAAGCCTTTACCAGATCCCCCTGGAAAAAGAGAGACCCTGTCTCATCATTGCCCCCACAACACGTTATATAGATCTCTATGCTGACATCTACCCAATTAACTGCAACCATTGTTTATGTGTCCCTCTTCATTTGGCTGTGATATCATTATGGGAAGGACTTTTGCCATTCCTTGTATGGTGCTTAGAACAAGGTCAGGTATATATAGTAGGCTCAATTAATATTTGTTGAATAAATAAAAGATTGAATCTTTAGAGGACCTACTTATAGATAGAATCTGACCTCTGACCTTAATTTCTCTGAAGATGAAGACTGTAGGAAACTGACAATATGGACTGGGAAACACACGATTCTTGGTGTATTGCTTAGAGAATAAATAAAACCGTGGACTAAGAAATACAAAGTGAATTATGTCTTCTAAACTAAGTTCATCATATCCTCATTTTGCATTCAACAGTTTTGGAGAGGGAGCACCGCTCTGCCAGGAATTGTTTTAGCATTGGAGGCATAGCTGTGAACAGATGTCTAGAGAGAGAGAGACAGAGAGAGACAGAGAGAGAGAGTCTGTGTGTGTAGGGAGGGCACAAAAACTGAATAAATACATCATGTAATGTCATTAAAGGACATGTGATTACAAAGTAAATGAGGGAAATGGGGTGGGGGTGATAAACACATGAGGATAAATATGAAAAGAAATGAGCATGGCTTGCCTAAGCCATTTCAGAAGCCCCAAACATTCTTACTCTATAGGAAAGAGATGTGTACATTCTATAAATTCTCCACTTAGTGAAGCTTTCTGCTACTCACACAACAGGGAAAAGAAAAGCAAAAAAAAAAAAAAGTGTGAAAATATCTACACACAACCTATTCTTGTTAAAAAATACCCACGTGCATACCCATATACCCACACAAAAATCTCAACAAAAGCACTCCAACTCATGCCAGACCAAACAGAACTTATCATGCAAAAGGGTATGGGGCTCAAATAAATCCATAACTAAATCCTAAGACTCTCATGTCAAAGGTAATAATCAGTACAAGGTTTGCTATTACTGGCCAACAATATTCAAATTCCAACTGAGGTATGAAGCATAAAAGAAAAAAAGTCAGAGCAAGGATATCTACTAGCTTATATATCTAGTTGTCCACATAATGCTTGGAATATATTAAGTGATAATACATGTTCACATAAGGAAGAAAGGAAGACAGTGAGGGTGGAAGGGGGTCATTTTGTAACTAAAATAGGAAGATATTTCTCGTTGTTAGTTAAGACTGTGATGGACAGAAAGGTTGCTGAAGAAACAATCCAGTTCTCAGCCTCCAGTGAGTGGAAGCCTGCATTTTACTGACCACACGTTGGGTGCTATTCATCCATTAATTGGGTCGTGTAGTCTCATATAGGGCCTGATTATGCTTGGAGAGAGGGAGAGAGCGAGAGGGAGAAAGAATTCTGCTTGATAAGGGAAGGAGTCTCTCTTCTTTCCTGCCAGGTCTCCCGCCCACAGTGAGTGCCATTTTGTACACTCTGGCAGATTTAGGACTCTGGTTTTGGCAATGGCTGGGTTCCCCCATCTGTGTCTTTGCCACAGACACTCTGCCTCTATCTACCCCTCTGTTCAGAGAGTAAATGGGACATGTGGGACTCACCATGTGTTTGTCCCTGGCTGCCCTATTACGGTCTTTCTGATTGTTGGCTAACAAACATTGTATCAATCACAGTAAATGAGAACACCCTCTGGTGAGAAATGACCAAGGCCAAACTCTAGATCTGGCAAGGAATGAGCTGCACATGAATTCCATTGGTGCATTTCTTATCCCCCAGCTCCGCAGGCTACAATCCCACATGACATAAGACATTTAGATAATAGTAAATACACTTTAAGTAATGAGGGTAACTGTTCTAACTTGATAAAGTTGTATTTCAGATATAAAAACCCAAATAGCAAAGAAATAAACAAATAATCCTGAAATGTGGTGCATCAGTTGGGTGTATTATCTTTTAGACTTCGTTTGTTCACAGTGTTTCACAGGAGATCTAGTAAGTGATAAATAAGGAATATAAATGCAAAATATCTGGGGACAGTTTTATAAAATATAAAAAGCTTGCAGAAAAAAGTCACTGGAAGATGTATTACAATCTCATATTGCAAGGGGGCTTAACTGCATGTTATAGGTGGTTGTCACTAAAAAGGGAATCCAGAATTCCTGGAATATATGTTTTGGG